CACGCACGCACACACACACACACACACACACACACAGTGATGGTTGTGAGCTACTATGACCTGACCACTGGTAGAAATGGTCTTCTTCCAAGCACACTTCCACATGAGGACAGAAGAGGCTGGGGATCAAACCACGATCCCTGTGCTCAGCAGTTCTACCTCCTGAGCCAAAGCCGCCACATTTAGTGAATGAGTCATCACAACAGGCTGAGATCACCGAAACAACAGCCAGATCAGATGAGAGGGAGTTTGGTCTCAGATTTAATGTGTATTTTTTCCTGTGTGAAATTTAAGTATAAAGTTTTTAGATTTTGGTTCGGCCCAGGTGTTTATATACTGTACATTCCTGTGCAGTGATTTAAAGTACTTTAGATGTTTAGATTCTTATCCATCACACAGTACCATCAGAGAGGCGTCTGATTGGTCCCAGATTCATCCTGCAGCAGGACAATGAGCCCAAACATACAACCAGTCATAAAGAACTATCTCCAGAGACAAGAAGAACAACGAGTTCTGCAACAGATGGTATTCATTACTCTCACTTTTCATGGCCTTATATTTGAAAGCATCCCCACTTCACTTTTAGTGCCTTCAAGTCAGTGCTGTAAATCTAAACTATACAATGTGTATACAGTATGTTAGCCATATGTAGCTAGGTGTTTTTATTCCGTTGTTGCAGCTGCTCTTTGCTCTAAAGCCCAGACACTGAACCGACCATTTCAACAGAGGTAATAGCAGACAGCGATTAAGAGTTTGTCCTTCACAGTTTAACTCTTTTGGATTTCTTTAGGCGCCCTGAGGCTCTGACTGTGTTCAATTATGTTACCTTCACTGACACGGCACAAGGACGCTGTCAGTGTCTGTGAGGCATGCACACTGAAATGCTACAGTGAAATGCTAAGTCAGCTGACAGTGAAATATGTTTCCTCACACAGAGAAGAGCCCGTGTCATGAGTGTAGTACCACTGACGTGCCTTTGAGCAAGGCAGTGGGGCTGCCAACTGTCTTTCCGTCAGTCTATCCTGATGAACAACACACAACATTTTCCAGAAAGATGAGAACATGAGCATTACCATAGCAACAACCACAGAACCACACAGACCAGTTCTGACTGACACACACACACGCACGCACGCACGCACGCACGCACGCACGCACGCACGCACACGGGTGTTATGAGGGGCTGAACGGAGGAAAACAATTAAGTGTTCTTATATGCTGACAAGACTTGTCAACGCAAGGAGTGCAACAGTGCGTGTGTGCTCATGTGTGTGTGTGTGTGTTTGTGTGTGTGTGTGCGTGCATGTGTGCTAATTGGGGGTAACTAGTGGCCTTCCTAAAAGTCAGCTGTTCCACTCCTCTTTTGTCTCTCTCTCTCTCTCTCTCTCACTCAGCAGCTGACAGACTGAAGAATCTGGAGAGAGAGAATAGAGGAGGAGGAGGAGACAGCTGTCAAAACACACTGCGCAGCTGCACGCGCGCGCACACACACACACACACACACACACAGAATAGTGGAATGTGCTTGGTCAACACGTCGTCTGTAGAGGCCGTATTAGCTTCACACTGAGCTAACTGCTAACAGATGACAACAGTCCTGTGTCCACTGCAGGACCAAGCGAGGTTCAACCAGACAAGGGCCAAACAGGGCTAAACCAGGGCAGACAGACAGATACTTTAGGAAATTAAGGCATCCGGTAGCTTGTTTGGTACAGACGACACAAACCAGTTCAAACCAAAAGGTGATAAAAAGGCTGTAATAGCTAATAACAATCACGCAAAGTCAAAAATAACTACAGTAATAAAATAAAAGCAGCAATCATGAGTAAAATCAAGCGGACAAAAGACGAAATGATAATAAACATAATATAACAAAGTTTGCTTGTGATAAGCAGGTGAGACCTGATAAACGAACCACTGCAACACTTCATGAATGGGAGCTCTACGTGACGGTGCAAGTGGAGGTTATGCAAATAGACGTGGAGGCAAATGTGAAGCCAGACCAGGACAAAGCGGAGCTGAACCAGAAGAATCACACGTGTTTTCTACCAAAGAACTACGTCTGAACTCATTTCTCAACACAGACTGAACTGTGTCTGACCCTCTCACGCTCACTGTGATGACGCATTATATCGATGAGTCAAATGATTAAACAGGACACAAGGACTTGAGACGTGGGTCAGACAAATAACTTGAATATCTAATCAATTATCACAGTTGTTAGTTCATTTTCTATCGGCTAATCGATTAATTGACTAACCTTTTAAGCACTTTTTGAATCCCTGCGGCAGCCAACATCAACAGCTGTGCTATCTGTGACTTTTCTATTTTGTTTATTGAACGCAACTTGTGATGGTGAGGATGTAGAAATATCCTGCACAGATTTGATCATGAGGGCTGTTGATCAATTTTCTGTCGAGCCACAAACTGATTAAAGGACAACTCATTTAGATACATGACAGGGGAGAAAAGCAGGTCACGAGCTCCTGCACCTTTTTACATTAGATTTAAATTATTTGGCAGACGTGTTTGTCCAAAGCAGCTTATATTCTCCCCTTTCATACAAACATGGATCCGAAGTAATTTCGGGTTCAGTGTCTTACTCAAAGAAACTTCTGGGCAGGAGGAGCTGGGGACAAGCAACAGTATGATTAATGACCAGCTCTGCCATCTGAGCTACAGAAGCTTCACTCTTTAGCCATTTCTAAACATAGAAAGTAGTTTGGTACCACGTCACAATAAGACTTCCCTTATCAGGGATTTATAAATGGTTTATAAATGGTTTATTAATTAGCTTGTCAACACTTCATAAATCATAAACAAAATGTATAAATTGTTAACAATCAAATGAAAAACCTAATTATAAACCATTTATAAATCTTTTGTAAGGTGTGAAGTCGTACCAGTAGTTTTTAGAAAGTGAAATGTTTCATCCTATAAATCCGTCATAATCAGCTGCTCTAACTCATCTCATAGCTTTGACTGCAGGAAAACCTTTCTTCATTCCTTCTTTGTCTGCTCAGTTTTATGAGAAGCACCCACAGCGGGCGGGTGGGGGTGGGGGGTGGGAGTTTACAGTGGCTTGCTGGAGGACACGTCGACAGGAAAGGACACAGTGGCTGCAGCAGACTTTGAACCTGTGACCTCTCTGTGTCTCAAGCCGACAGATGACGCTTTACTGACAGAGCAATACACACATAAGGGATGGACAGTATTATGTAGGTATGAGATGGTGTGTGTGTGCGTGTTTAACAGACAGAGAGAGATAAACACGTGTTGCACGTGCTGACTGCCGTGTGTCTTGTGGCGTGTGAGATGCATGATGGTACCTTATGATACAGCGATGGTGAAACATCTGCAGATGTTCAGCCTTTATGCTTCAGGTGATGTCATGAGCTGCAGAATGTGATCTGAACCCGCCTGAAGCTCTTCATTTCACATTAACCGCTATTTAAAGGATTTTACCATGTTTTACATTCCTGGAAGTGTCGCCCTGCACAGTCACGACAGACACAGTTATCACATTTATACGCTCTCCATGTTTCTTACTGTGTGTTCCCTCTGTTGAGATGAACAAACATGAACGCAAGACATGACAGAGCAGGTCTGCTGAGGCTTCTGCGGAGGGGAGTGGTTATAATTCACCTCCCACACACACACACCCACATATTACTGGATTTTCTTTAAATACCAACCGACTTCTGCGTTACATAATCATACCAGCAGCTGACTGTCTTAACGAAGGCCCCAACACACAGGCGCTGCAGCTCTGAATACACCAGCAGTCCCTGTCTACATCCTCTGTGTATTTGTACAGCCTTTAGTCTGCATCAGCCGGGCTCATTACTGATACTTTATTCTCAGATGAGAGGACGTTTAGTCAATGTTTGAACTTACCCTGCAATAAAAATGTTTTACGTCTGTTTTATGTCTCGGTTTGGGCTGAAGAAGTTTGAAAATGAAAAATATCTGGGAGTCTGGAGTTAGACAGAAGTGAGCTTATCAGATCTCTGTAGCCTGCTCCTCATCTCTGTTTGAGGCTCCAGGCTACATTAGCTCCTACTAGCATACTACAACTCCCTGTCCAAACTGTCGGCATTGTGGGTAGTGTAGGCACAAGGAAGAGGAATGACACCATCTCTGGTTCTGCTGCGTTTATTCACGTCAATCATGAATGCGACAGAACCTGTGGAGTACTGAAGGGTGTAATGTTTGACCCGGCCATGAGGTGTACTTCTGTGATTGTCGTATTTAATTCTGAAGACAAAAGCAAACGAGTATTTCCCGCAATGTCGGAGAACTCCATCAGCATTAAAGAGCTAAAGAGCTACCTGCATTATGAAGCGTCTGTGTGTGATTGTTGGTGCATGTAACCTAATCCAGGGTAAAACAAGGCAACTGCACACGAGGTTCCACTGTGTTATTTCAGAGACAGACAGAAATACAAAAAGAAAGAAAAAGGAGGGAAATGACCCAAAAACAGCTGAAGTAACTCGGCACAAAGAAAGACAACAAGGAACAAAAAGAAAGAGAGAGATGCACTGAAAATTGTCTTGGCAATTTTTGTGGCCCATTTCTTTCCCCAGTAGCTAAGTCCTTAATGGTTCCTACATTATCTCTCTCTCACACACACACACACACACACACACACACACACAGCCTGGTCCACAGAGAGTTAATGGAGCTAATTAGTTCCATCGTGATCTCACTATTTATAATGAAAGGAGGGAGACAGTGAAAGATCACACTGTGGGAAGGAAGGAAGGAAGGAAGGAATAGAGGGAAAACTTTTCTCTTGGGTCACTTACATGATGTCACACAGAGACGCACATATGTATATGCACACGCACACACACACAAAAACACAGAGTGATTTTCCTCCCAGTTTGTCTGGCCCACGGCCTAAAACACAATCCAACTGTATGTGTCTTTATTGCACTGTTTATACCTGTGTGTGTGTGTGTGTGTGTGTGTGTGTGTGTGGGTGTGTGTGTGTTTACCTCTGGTCCCGGTCGCCATGTCTGCCACCTTCTGAAAAGCATCCAGGAAGGCTCCGGTAACCACGATGGTCGTCCTGTATCAAAGACAAACACCACACATATATTAATCCATTCAACACACCAGACGTGTTCTGGGTGAAATCTGGATTTGTACAAGTCTCAGTGAAAATTGTCAAGAACCAACAATTCAGATTATGTCTGTCATTAAAACACACGGTCGAGACACAGGTGGAACAGCACCGTGGCGCCAAGCTTCAGCCCTCCAACTACAGAAGCGGGAACCAGTTCATTAGGAGTCGAGACTTGAACATATTCGCTCGTTTAAGGAGTGGTTATGATTTAGAGACACTTGGGAGCATTGTGAAAGTAAGACTTGTTGTCAACATGCAAACAACAGCCTGATGAAATACATCATGCACTGAAGCAGCAACAGCAGCTTTTGTTAGAGACAAAAACAAAGCAACACGGTTTCCACTTGTAACAAACCGCTGTTTCTTGCAAATCAAACGAAACACGATTGAATGTGTTCGCTGGTGGGAAGCCAGTGGGGGATTGGGTGAAGGGATCTGACAGGTGCCTCTGAGGAGATTTTCAGATTGTGTCTCTTTTGTTGGGGAATGCATTAAAGCACATTGGCTTCAAGTAGGATTTCCACGGTTCCAGTTTCAAAAGTGCAACGCAGAGCCGACTGGAAACTCCACATTAGAAGATAACGGGGAAATAAAAGGAAAAGAACCAAACTGATAAGCACTATCAACTCAGTATCAGTCTAAATGTAATGATGCTCGGAGGAAAATAACACACCCACATCCGTTATGATAAACTGAAATTACATTAACTGTACAGGACTAGATAACTTTATTCTTGCATGGTGAACGGCAGATGTCACTGTGAGTCATGTGACCTTTGTTTACTTATAACTGGGCAGATCGAACCAAAACAAATAAAATACAAAAGATTTCTTCTCTGGTCGGGATCAAAGAAAGGCGGCAGCAGCAGCAGGCGCATCACAGTCTGCAGCAGAAGACACATCACAAACAAACCTCCGCCTGGTTTTCAAAAAGAAAAATAAAGGACTTTTATTTTGGAAGCAGGAGAGCTGGAGCCACATGAGAGGCCAGTCGCCCTCAAAGGCCAGTGTTAGGAGTGCAACTGGAGACCTCCTGACACACACCCCATCATCATCATCATCATCAATGGACCTATTGTCTGTGTGTGCGTGTTGTGTGTGAGAGTTGTGTGTTCCATTACCAGTCGGGTCTGTGTTTCCATAGCTACACACACACACACACACACACACACACACACACACACACACACACATAGTTACGCCTGGAAAAACCTAACTAGGGAAGATCAGTGACAGTCTGGTGAATTAGGTGTGTGTGTGTGTGTCTAACCTCAGTGGAATTTCTTTCATATCTAAGACCAAATACATACAAACACAAAAACAAAACACACACAAACACACACACACAACACACACACACACACACACACACCACACACACACACCACACACTACGACACACGCATCAATGGCAATATTCTAGAAAGTCATAAGTACATTGTGTGTAATGAAGAACAGCGATTTCCATGTTCGTCTGAACTAACTAAAAATAATCAAAAAGAACAAAACTTTCTTTGACATGAGCCAACAGCAGCAACAACACAACAAACCCACCAATGAGAATCATGAGGATAATGAGGCACAGGACACTTAAAAGTCTTGTAACATCTGGGTTTAAAACTAATATTAAGACTGTTAGCAGAAACGAAGTTAAAACACAGTACTGTGGCTTCATGTGTGCACAGACATGTTTGATGTGCCGTCCCATGATGCCCGTGCCTCAACAAGACACCGAAACCCTCCGTGGTGTATGACAGCAGCTCTGGTTTGTCTTTGTTCAGCTGGTATACGCTGCTTTAAAGTTCAGACACTGAACTACACGCAGGGTGGGGCTGTTTGTTTGTTTTTTTTATTCTGCACCAGATTTCATGAGCAAACGTTCTAATCATCCCAAACCTAAAGCTGAAATCATTCTACAAGGGAAATAAGACAATAAAAAGAAGCTAATACAGTAATTCAGCTGTTTAATAAGTCGACGTTAGAAAACCTAAAATGGAAATAGACTCAATAAATTCCTTTGTAAATAAAAGCATCTTTAGCTGGAAGCAGTAAGTGTCCCAGACTTAACAGACGCAGAGACAGTTATCGTTTATTTACACATGAGATTTGGATTACAGACAATTTCTAATATCATTGATGTTTAAATCAAAGTCATGTTTCCAACAACACAACTGTAGGTAGTAAAAGGCATTGTAAAATAAATAATCATATGAGTGGATACTGACAGAACCATCTATCTCACCATTAAACAACCTAATACATTTTTATAGCTCATTATATGAAATGCAATATCATCCTGCTTTTTACACTATAACAGTTTACTGCAGGACATTTTTTATTAACTGGTCTTTTAGTTTTATTTATTTAAAAGCATTGTTTCTCCAATGACTCTATTGTTTAATAATGCAACCTTTCATGAAAATGTCTCTGTCTGTCATTCAAAACAAACAGGGTAGCGCCAACTGTGTGATCGGCTGTTGCATCAATCCAAATCAGCAAACACGTTATCAACGGATAATGATTTTGATTGATTTATGATTTTGAACACTTTGTGTCTCCATGCAGAACGACTGTCCGAGGAACTTGACTGAAAACAGTTTATTTGATCCTGTGTTTACTGGGAGGAAACGCATTTACACGGATAGTTAAACCTCCTACTAACAGTCACTCATGTTTTCACACACAGGGCAAAGGTTTTATCCACTTCAGACGTTTAGATTCTTAACCATCACGCCGTACCATCAGGAGGCGTCTGTTCTAGATTGTGCTGCAGGAATATGAGCCCAAACACACAGCCAGTCATAGAGACTATCATCAGAGACAGACAGACACAGAGTCCTGATCTCAACATCATGGAGTCAGTCGGGGATCACATGAAGAGACAGCAGACTCTGAGGATGCGTCCACACTACTACGTTTCCATTTTAAAAAACGAAAACGATCTCACCTGAAAACGCATACATGCATGAGCAATCACATACACTGGGCATGTGTGTAATGTGTAAACAGGAAGCAGATTGTCAACTCTGCAGTTGATTAGTTGAGAACATACTACTAACGAGGAACAGCGGAGACTGCTGCAGCGTGAAAATGAAGAATTTAACTCCTCAACAGCTGCTAGCAAAAACAACAAGAGTAGTAACTGTAATTCATTATCCGTGTGGTAGTCGAGGCTGATAAGACTCACAGAGCGACGTCATCGTTTTCAAAGGCCTTCGTTTTACGCCCGTCCAGACGACAACGCACCCCGCAGTTTTCAAAGTAAAAAGCGGGGGCCAGCAGCATTTCCAAGCGTTTTCAGTGCTCGTGAAACCCAGAGTAGACGGAAGGTGAAAACGCAGCAAAAGTGATGCGTTTCAACATTAAAACCTATCAGCGTGAACATAGTGTGAGACAGACTAAACCCACAGAGGAACCGTGGCAGGTTCTCCAAGAACAAAACTACCTGACAGGAACCTTGAAAACCTCTGTGCAGATGTTCTGAGGAGAACTGGTAAAGGTAAAGGGGGGCCACAGCAAATACTGATTTGATTTTGGTTTGCACTGCGGACACTGATGAGGAGTTTGTGCACGTACTGATGTTACCTTCACTGACACGCTGTCTAAGTGTCTAAGAGACATACACAGTTTAATGTCACCTGACAGTGAAATACGTTTTGACACGCTGACACAGTTTACCTGTTTGGGATTTGTTTTTGTTTTTTTTACATGGCCTTATTTTTGAAAGCATCCTCCACTTTCCTTGCAGCGTCTAAAACCTTTGCACAGCACTGCAGATGATTTCATCCCATGACAACAATAAAGATCACAGCCATGAGATTTGTGTTGGGTCGTGCAAGATCCTAATCACACTGCAGCTCTCTGCACTCATGACTCCATCCTTTCAGCCACAGTTATGTCATTTTAACCACTTCTGCTGTGTCTAGATTTGGTTCTGTTGAAAGCCGTTAGATTTGTGAACCCATATGAATTATGTGAAGACTTGTTTTAGTCTGAGCCACAGCAGCTCTTTAACAATAAACTAATTAAATGTTTCCTGCAGCAAATCTAGTTTAGACTTCATTAAACTATGAAAGGTTATCCGGTAAAGACTTGGGTTCAAAATCAAAATCCCGCCTAATAATCCCAGTGATGTTCACTGAACTGCTTGTTAGCACAAAATATAAGTATTAATTTCCTAACAAACAGACAGCCCCTTAATGTCTTTGTTTTCATAGTTCAGATTTGAGAAGGCATTTTGGTTTTTATGGTGGTTCAAAGAACAAACACAACTGTGGACTTAGAGTGTGGATTAGAGCTTTATGTGTGCAGTGTCTGCTGTGTGTCCGCAGCAGATCTTTTAAGTAGCATTAAAAATTGGAGCGGTTTGAACAACATGGATGTCCTGTTTGTGCCTACATCTGTGTGCGTGTGTGTAGTTGGCTGACGGGCAGGGATAATGGTCTGTGACCGGCTGCAGCAGGCAGAGTGATGCTTATCAAAGTAAACTGGCCTACTGGGAAACGCAGCCATTATACTGTTATTACACTGAGCCAGCTACTGGGTCACTGTGCGTGTGTGTGACAGAGAGCGTCAGAACACATGCATAAACATGAGAATGTTTACTAAGGATGTTTTGCAGGGTTATGTTAGCTGTTAGCTGCTAGCTGCTATCATTTTAAATGTTTTGATAAAGCTGCAGATGACATGCTGTGTCATCAGTTTTGATACTGAAGATAAACGTCTCACCGTTTCGCAGTAATGCTATTTTAACACAAGAAGATACAAACATTTCTCTTAAAAAATACAGAATGAAACTAAAAGAACTGAGATATGAATCAGATAAAATCTAATTCAACAGTCAGTAAAAAGACAAGTCAAGAGAAGATGTGTTTTCCACAGAGCTGTAAATGAAGGTGAGCTATTTCAAAGGAATGAAAGACCAACTCTGCTGTTATCATAAAAAATACACTTTTACTGAAGCTTTAGAGAAAAGAGCATTCACTCTTTCACATAGTAAATGCCATGTATTTAATGAACGTGGCTACTGTTCAGACTGTCACTGTCTAACTAAACGTAATATGAGTTGAGGTTGAGGATGTGGTTCTCTTACCACCTCGGTTAAACAGTTTCCTTGGAGAAACCCTGAAGGACTCCGACCAAGTATTTGGCAGATAAACTACTTGTAAACCAGACTCTGGTAACTCTTCTTCTGCTTCACTGCACAGTGAACAACACTGTGACTGACTGAGCTGTCACCTGCCACACGAGAAAGACACTCTGACTCTGTGGACATGTTATGTTTCCATACGAGGATCAAAAGCAGTGAGATATTCTTTGGTCTTTGGGGACATTCAGACCAAAAACATCCCTTCTTTAAAATAATGCACGAGGCCGTGCTGGTGGGGGCTTGTTGTTTCAGGTATCAGTGACAGGACGTAGGATTTTACTGTTGTCAAATGTTATCCCAACAGCCTTCACTTCTATCGCAAAGATTACAAGGTAAACACTAGAAGAGGAAACGGCATTCACATGACAAAATAATCCATCAGGAATGTGCACGTGCTCTTATCTGATTGGCCACCAAAGCACTTTGCAAGATGACATCACTTTGTGTTGTGGCAAAGATTGAGTCAGGCTAAACTTTTTTTTGCTGAACAACCCCGTGTTTTCCACACAGTGCTACTATCGGTCTGAACATGACCTTACACGGCTTTCACATCAACTTCACACGTTTGTTATTGTGCAGAGACCAGACATTATTTCCTACACAGAGATCGGCTGTGTTCTTTTCTAGCAGACGCCACAGTGATTTTCTGCTTGTGCAGAGAGTTCAAGTAAACTGAACTTTGACCCCAAATACATCGACAACCAGAACATTCATCCAGTGGGAGTCTGGCACTGATGGGAGGTGAGTGTCGCAGCGGCGGCAATTTCACTGTGGAGAAGAAAGGAGGAAAAGAAACGAGGGTGCAAACTCATCAGGGGTGAAGAAGGTGACAAAGATGTGAGGAAGTGAAACTCTACTCTCGGGTCCGACCAGGACTTGAGTAAAGAAATGTAAAAATGGCAGAATATATCATAGAAGACATGGATGCTAAGTAACACTGTGATTATTTGCATTCAGACGTAGCATCGTAGTGGTTTTGTGCTGCTCTACATCTGTGCTCTGGTGTTCAGAGGTAAGAGACTTGTCTTATAGGGTATTATAGGAGTTTGGTGGCTGCTCCACAGGTGAAAATGCATCACTAACTATGTTGCTGCCATAGCAGCGAGTAGTCAGGTCAATTAGAAAAATAATAATAACAGATTGAGTTTAAATGTGCATGTCTGTGAGTCTTACCTGAGCTGTGATTGTAGCTTGGCTCCTTTGGTTAAAAAGTCCTCCCATGTAGGATAACTGGCCTGCAGCAAACACAGAGAAACACCAACGACATTAAACCTCCAACAGCATCGTTCAAGTGACCACAAGAGGATTCACAGACTTTAACAGCGATGTTCGCCTTGAGGCTTTAACAATATGTATTTCATTCCAGTAATCCTGAAGAGCTTTTAACCTTAACTATTATTAAAGTATTAGTATTAAACCAGGACTGGAGTGTACACACCCAACATGAACACTTTGTGAAAACGGAAGTATATTTGAGATATATTTGATCTCATTTACTTAACCGTGCTATCCTAATGCTTATTGCTTTATTTGAAATTACAGATAGAGGTAGCAGCACGAAGAGTCCTCCAAATAGTGTGTCAACAGACAAAAGGAAAATGATATTTATAAGAATATCCCATTGGCGTTTTGACAGATCGTTAAAGCTGCAATATGAAACCAGTGAAGATCTTAATTAAAAATCACAGTGCAGGAAGAAAAGAAAACATCAAGACTCGTGCAGTAAAAAGAGGCAGCTGGGTATGAAAAGAAAAGTAACAAGTGAAGTATTTTGACAGAAAGACACAAGTCAATAATTATATTCAAGTTAATCAGGGTTATATATGGTAATTAGTGTTTGGGCTTGATCAATACCCTAAACAATAGACTGATTATCAGAATTGTTATCAACTAGTTTTCAGTCGACTGACCTCTGCGTTCTTTATTATCACTGAACTTAACATTCATTTTACAGCTTTGACTGATTTTCTGTGAACAGCAGCAGCAGCTCAGTGTAAAACCAGTCAACAGCTGACTGCCTCGTGTTATTTTTGGCTTCTCTGGGTTTCACATGAACACAGAAGCTGTGGACTCTCAACCATCAACATACAGAAGCAAACACAAGGAAGCGAAGCCTAATACAAGCAAAACAAGGCTGCTGTCATTCAGCTGCGATCGATCGTCCATGAAACCGCAGCTGAGCTCCTCCCGATGTTATCGTGTTCATTTCAGGTTTATCAACGTTAACAGATGCATTCCCACTCAACACATCTTATGCAACCTTATGTATAAAAAAAAACTGAGAAGAAATGCCAGAACAAAGCCGAATGTAATGCTGATGGAGACTAATTTTTTCTCAATTTACACCATATGATACATGGTCGTGGTTCCTGCCTCCTGTTCTACTAGAGACAAAACAGTTTTGTCCTTGCTTGGACTCATGATTACAGGCCACAACTACGACAGCAAGACAAAAATTACAGAATAAAAACAGCAGGGGTGTACGTAAAACACCACAGCACATGATCGGCATGAACAACAAGACACAAATTAATTTATTTTTTTTAAAAAAGAAGAAAAGATGTAGGGAGTGGAAAGGATGTTTTTCTTGGTAAATCAAGACAGAAAATTGCAAAAATAAAATTAAAAATTGTCGCAATTTCCCAGAGCCCAAGTTGATGTCCTCAAATTGCTGCAATATTCAGTGTACCATCATATAGGACAAAAAACATGCTCTGCAGTTCAGCTTGAACAGCAAAAATGTTTTTCATCGATTGACCAAGTAGTTGCTGAGTGATCTTGTCACTTGACTAATCAATTAATCGACTAATCCTTTAAGCTCTAAATCTCCTCACCTCCACAACAAGTAGCTGATTAAACACACACTGGTTCACTTTTTACTTTGCAATAAATTTGTTCGGCGTTTTAATGCAAACAAACTGAAGAATATCTGAATTTATTTGTTACTAACGTACAGCACAACTTCAGCGAGGTGTTTTAAAAGCTCTGCACAAGAAAATAGTTTAATTACATTCTTGTGCAGAGATGAAAATATGTCTTCTTTCTTTAGGAGGTAAAAGCTGCTTCTGTGTCTGTTTTTTGTAACAGCAGCTGATTGATTATGTAATCTAAGGCTGGTTCGTGCTGCAGGCTCTGACCTTGGGTTACATCTGTGACCAACAGCTGCTGGTGTGGTGCTCTGGTTATTGAATTAAAAACACAGGAAAGCCCTGTTGGAACGGAGGGCTGAATCCCACTTTCTCTCTCTTCAATTTTCCTGAACCCGGTCACCCTGTCTGTCCTCTGTCTGTGCTGGTCCACCAGAGAGAGGATAATACCGATTTAACCCCTAACACCACACCATTAGCCTCTTAGCTCTACACCGCTAAAGCCGTTAGCCGGCCCCTTGCTTCACAGCTAGCCGGGCATGCACACGGCGTGGGGCTGACAGGTTTACTAGCTGCAGGGATTTAGCACTGTGTGATGAAATACTGCAGGTGACTGTCTGAATGCCCCTGTGAACAACTAACAGTGAACCTGCAATAAATAGAAGAGGAAGGAAATGAATAGGAAACGATTGCACTCAAAAACTTTACTGACCACTGTGGGGGGGAAAAAATAACACGAGCTCACGAGTAAAATTTAAGATGAAGCACATTGAAAACTGAGAAGTCACTTTACAGCATTTGTATGGAAAGTCAAATGTTTTTTGGAGCTGAACTCATTGGTGGTGATTGAATTGATGATCTTGAGTGATTAAAAATACATTTCAGGCAGCAAGCCCTTTCTAGATATGATAAAATAGAGTTTTCAACCGAGGGCATTCATAACATACAGTAATCTTTCCCAAACCTCATCTCATGCAAGAGGTTTTTCAGCATATTAATTTCAGAAAATCCATGCGTGTTTCATGCAACTGTTTCATGTATAAATCTGCTTTAACGTGTATGGAATAAAATCTCTTGTACCACACCGATCTCCCACTGAAATCGTATAACATTTCTATACATTTCTGTCTGCATACGCTTCGTATATGTTTACAGGGGATGTTTACTCAGAACCATTCGGTACAGGGCGTTCAGTGCAATCTGTGATCAAACAGTTAGGGTCATGCATGTGTGCAACATAAATTCAAAGATGCATCTGGGTCACATTTTATCTGTTAGCAAAACCAACCAGAGGTGGTAGAGCCTGCAAAGTGCTTTAGATCTATTGTTTGGGAGCGTTATGAGTTCCCCTGTATTTAAAGTGGCGATGGACAAGAAGCATTACTGCCATACTGACATTCACTTCTGCTCATCTTCTGCATTTCTTTTGTATTTCCTGCTGTGCAGAGAACTCAATGAAACCATAACTGCAAAACCGAGGGATGAATGAACTGCCAGCATAACAAACCATAGATTTCATGTGCGATTACACCCCTACTGTTTACAGGAATATCATCACAGTACCATAACTTTGACCCTTCACTTCCTCACTGTAATGTTGGCTGTAGGACTGCAACACGTAATTGTTTTTTATTATCTAATAATCTGCAGATTATTTACTCAATAAACAGATTACTCATTGTCTATGAAATGTTTAAAAATGTGCATTTAAAATGGCATTCACCATGACTCAGAGCCCACATCTTCAATTTGTCTGTTTAGCCTGAACAACAGACCTTAAGGTAAAAATTTTTTATTTAATATCACACAAGACAAAGAAAAGCTGCAAATCATCACAGATGCGAAGCTGAAACCAGAGAATATTTGGCCTTTTTTACTTATAAATAACTGATTGTTGATTGACCATCGATTAATCGACAGTCCTTGCAGCTCTCGTTGGCTGTGATGTTGGTTATCCAAGAAATGCAGTTTATCCTTTTTGAACAGTCACTGAATATCACTGTGGGTAAGACAGTAAAGCTACAAACCAAAATCATACAACACAAAATGTCTCTGCTGCTTGTATTTCAGTCTGTGCAGCTCTTGGACGGCTCCTCTTGTTCCCTCTCCACTTCTCGCCTAGACCTAAAATTCTGCCAGGATTTGTTGTGACTGCCAGGAATGTCACAGTCAGTCGCAGACAAAATATCCCGGCACTGGTTTTGCAGCAAGCAGAGCTGAAAACGCCACAGACAGACAGCGTATCGGGGTCTGCTGCAGCTTGATACTGAGACCTTTAAAGCAGCGACCGCTAAATTAGGGTCCCGAGACCCACAAGGGTCACTGACGGTGTGCGGAGGGCTCCCAGAGACAGCTGCAAGCAAAACAGCTGTCGACCATCATCTGGCTGGACAGCTACTTTTACATCTGAACTCCAGTCAGAGGGAGAAAATCTACAAAGCACAAAGACTGGTTCAGTCTCCAAAATGTCAAAGGTTAAAACAAGTGCCTATCACAAGTTACCAAAGCTGAAGATGATATCTTACAGTTGCTTATTTTTTACGACAACAGTCAAAATGATGATGTACAAAATTCAGTGTTGGAGTAGGGCTACTCCTCAAGTCAGCGGTGGCTCTTTGGTAGAAAATGGTCGTTATTCTTTCAGTTGTTTGAGCAGCTAATTTCCCTACTGTACCAGATAGTTTTTGTTTTACAAATTAGCAGAACTCAAATCGGAGGCCGACTGATAAGTTTGCACATTAGCTTATCAAAGATATTTCTGTTTCTATGTAAATGCTGCTCAACAAATAACAAGAAACTGCCGCACAAAAATGCCAAAGATATTTTAAGTTTATATACAAACAATGTCTCATACATTATTTCTAAGAGGACGAGAGGGCAGTGAAAAGTTTTTTAGTTTTTTTTTTTTAAACTGTGAAATGTCTCTGTACATATCTTCCTTGTAAATCTCTAATGAAACCGATCAAACTTAAAAAGATCCTTATGAAAATTATTTGTTTATAGTTTGTATTTGTGTAAACTGTGAACTTTCAGCCAATACTTTGCTTTGACATTTTTCAAATGTCAATATCGCCCTGAAAAAATCCAGCATCCGGCTAAAATTATGGTTAATTATCTGTAGTGGGTTGGGTTTGAGAATTCATGATGGGCACTTGTTTTAAACATATAGTATTTTAGACATTTAACTCTAGCAGCTTTGGTACCTGCCTGAAACGTTGCACAGCTGAGTGGAAATGGTCTGCATGCTCCACTAGCTCCGACACAGGAAACCCTATTGACACAGCCTCGGCCACCCCCCTCCACCCCCCACGTATAGAAGGTATACGGTGCTGTTATCTTATCTGCTCAGTCAACCAGACAGCATGACC